TCTGATGGCATCACAATCAGAACTGTGAACAGGGCCATTGTTTGAGTGCTGGGGCACCTGGGCAGTTTGAATAAAAGAAAGAAGTCAGCTTGGAATTGAGGGAAAGAGATTCTGAGCCGCTGGATTGGAAGGTTGGAGCAGAGGATGGACTGAGCTTCAATGGAGAAGAGAAATAGCATAGCCAGGAGAGTCGTTGCCTCTAGAGGCCTCTGAAAGGGGAGAATTCCAACAAAAAGAAGTCTCAGGGAAAGGTCAGTTCTCTTCCCCACTCCCCTCCAATTTCTGTTCTGTGGAGCCTGTCTGTCCACAGACATTATAATATATTCCAGTGTTTTCTTGTCTAGATGTTTCCAGGAAACTGAACTTTGCCTCATTCCTAAAGAGATCAGAGGTTAACTAGAGATAGATGCAAATGTAAAGTAACTTTTAACACCTCCGCCTAGATTTTAGGAGTTTTCTTAACTGGGGGCATTGTGACTAAACTCTGAATTTTTAAAATCTAAAATAAACTTCCTAAAACCAGGGAGGAAACCAGTTGGACCTTAGAGGTGTAAAAGAAGCTAATCATTGTAACAGAATGTCACACGAGAATCCCCTGCTGTACCCTTGGCATCAAACTTCCACAAGCCATCCCCTCTGCCTTTGGACATTTTTGCTGATTTCAGGCACCCCCTCACCCCCCCAAAATCTGTTTTCTCTTATAAATAGCCTTAAATAAGACCCTTTTATAACCACTCCTAGAGCCCTCGAGATCCTCTTAACTGCCATCTCCCTTCACAGCAGTTTTTCCCATGTCACTCACAACTTATTTTTCTCCCATTCCTCTTCCTTGGTTTGTCTCATTGCCCTGCTCCTCAATAATCCACCTTTATTCTGGAGTATTTTCATATCCCTACTTAGCTTGAGTAGTCTACATTTTATGACCTTTCTCCAGAAGCTCTCCTTCCAAATTATACTGTGTGGGGGACAGACCTAATATTCAGTAGTGAAGAAACAAACAGCTTTCAAAACTATAAATGAATTCCCATCTTTTGTCCTTCAACCAAGGGAAGATATGGTTCCACCTTGGAAATTTCAAGTGGGGATGAGCATTTGTTGAAACATTATGAGGGCCTGACTTGTAACACACACCTGTAATTCCTGCTGCCAGGGAGGCAGAGTCTGGTCATGCTCATGTGCCAAGCAGTAGTACTGAGATCTGGCCCACGAGTGACTCCTTTACTTCCAGCCTGGGAAAGATAGGGAGACCCAGTCTCAAAAAACTGAAACAAAATAATACAGGGAAGGGATGGCTCCCTGAGGGGAAGATACAAAGGGAAATTTAGGCATCGTGAAAACAAGAAGAAAATTTTAAAAAATTTTATTTAAAAACCAACAATAATGGACTTTATTGTTCAACATTGAAATTGTGGTGATCAAATCAAAACACCCGTTTGAAATGAATGTACCTTAAGTCTTTAGATTTTCTTTTTCCTGCTTGAATTGGTAAATTAGAGCACTGACACCTCAAGCAAGGTGATTTTCTTGTGTCTTTTTATATACCCAAGAAAAGTAGTTCTTTGTGATAATGTTAGAAGTTGTTGATAGTTGCCTAGTGGCCCTCTGGGTTATATTGATTGTGTCAACATAGTGCCAAAACAACCTATCAATTTTGTTTGAAAAAAAAAAACAGTCAAAGGCAAACTTGTTCTAACAGGCATAATCATTGTGCTCTGACATCACCATTCTGGTTCCTGCCAGGATTTTTCTAGGTTAGAGACTGTATACTTACATGAGGCTGTGACTACTACTTGCCTTGCCTCTCCCTACCCCTGTTCATACAGTTTACTGCCCCTAGTTAATATGTTTAGTATACCTTCCACCTGTATATCTCACAGCCCTTCTGTGATTTGGTAGATAGCCTTGGAGGACAAGGATCTATGGTTTTTTCAATGTGGGAACTCCCTCCACCTACCTGTGACCAATTGTCTATATATAACTGAGTAGGCAGGTTTTGAGTTGCCTCAGATTGTCAAGAGGTTAAGTAATTTGCCCCATAATCATAATATCAAGGGGGAAATTTGAGCCCAGGTTGTCTTAATTCAGTCACCAATACCTCCATCCGCTACACCACACTGCCCCATCCTGGACAATTTCTGTGGCCAAAATAGTTACCTTGTGGCCAGCCTGATAATGAGCATGTCCAGTTTGGTAGGATCTGCCAGAACTTGTGTTCCACTGACGCAGCGTTTGAGAGTCCAGGTGCCATTTCAGTAGTGCTCACTATGTGCCAGGCACCGTGCTAAGTGCTTTAAGATTATTTTCTCATTGGAGCCTCACAACAACCCTGGGAGGTGAGTGCTGTTATTAGCCCCATTTTACAGATGAGGAAAGTGAGGCAAACAGCTATTTAAGTGATTTACCCAGAGTCACACAGCTGGTGAGTATCTGAGGACAAATTTGAATTCAGGCCTTCCTGCCCTCAGGCCCAGCCCTCTAACCACTTCTCCACCTAACTGGTTAGTCACCTGTGTACCATAATGAAACATCAGGTAGGGCTTTCAAGGAGGTATAAGTATTGGAGTGATAACTCACATTCATATAATAGTTTAAGATCAAAGAGTCTCCTCACAAATAGCCTTATGAACTAAGTAGTCCAAGTATTCCACCAATTTTACAAATGAGGAGACAGGCTCACAGAGGGATGGGACTTGATTGGGCTTACGTAGCTAATAAACATCAGAGCTGGAATAGTGGGAGAAAGTAATTTTGTTTGGGAATTGGGTTAGGATAATTCTTCCCCCCTTCCCCCCCCCCCAAATTAAAGCACTCTAAACCAAAAGAAAACTGGTAGGATTTTTTCCTGAGCCAGCCTCCAGAGGGCAATATGGTCCTGGATGTTTTAAGTGATCTGACTCCTGCCCAGACTTTAATAGCTAGAAGGAATGGGTAGGATTGCTTTGGGGAATTGGACAATGCCTTTAAATGAGTCCTGGGCTTCTCTCTGGGGGAAAAAGGGCCCATCATGGAAGGCCACCCAGTGCCTTGGGTGGTGGACTCCCTGTGGAAGAGTTCCAGGACAACATGTTTAACAGTTGTCATTAGCATTGTTGAAGGGGGTATGCATACATCACTGAGACTCATCAAAGTGTTATTAAAAGAAAACACTGATTAGAAAGAGTCATCATGGCTTCACCCAAAACCAGTCTAGTCATGTTAGACTAACCTCATTTCCCTTTTTTTGGTAGACTAGTAGAGTAGGTGAATGCTGTAGATAACAGTTTGCCCAGATTTTAGGCCAACATCTGACAACATCTCTCATGCTGGTCTTAAGGATAGATGGAGAAATCTGCATCTTTTGGAGGGACAACCCACCTCAGTGAGATTAAAGATCCATCAAAATATTTAAAAGGTCCCAGCCAATCGGGGACAGTGGTGTATGCCTGAAAATCTGCAGTTTGCTGAAGATAGCAGCTGATATTTACACAGCACTGAAGTTTGCCAGTTGCTCTATGTACAATATCGATTTTGGTCCTCACCCTGTGAGTTTAGTACTACAGGAATTATTGTCTCTGTTTTGCACATAAAGAAACTGAGGGGGCAGCTGGGTGATGCAGTGAATAGAGCAACAGCCCTGAAATCAGGAAGACCTGAGTTCAAATCCAGCCTCAGACCAAACATTTGACACTTACTAGCTATGTGACCCTGGGCAAGCCACTTAACCCCAATTGCCTAAAAAGAAAAAAGGGAAAAAAGAAGAAACTGAGGCTCAGAGAGGAGAAATGAGTTGCCCATTGGTCACAGAACTCCTGAGTGTTCAAGGTGGAGCTCAAACTCTGTTTCACCCCTCAAGTCAGCTGCTCTAGTTATGTTTGTTGTTGCAAACAAAATTGGTGACTATTTTTTGTTGGGCAAGAGAATAGACTGAGAAACCTTCAAAGACCTATTCTTTTAACTTTCTGGTCGCCGACTTGAAATGAGAACTAAATATGGATGCTTTGACTATACAGCGATCCATTTATTTGTGTATGAACTTGATAAATATCTGTATTCAACACCATGTTTTTCCCAGTCAGTGACTGTATTTAACAATTGTGATACACAGGCTTTGGTATTATAAATATTTTAAAATTAGTAGCAGGTTTGACCATCTCTTTCCTCCAAGGGCAGATAAAAATAGCATTTTTTCCTTGTAGTACATATACTAAGATTATTTTGATCCCATTAATTAATTTGCTCAGTTAGTGTGACAGCCACCAACCTAGTTCAGTCCTTTATCACCTCTTTCCTTGACTAGTCTAATAGCTTCCTAATTGGTCTCCCTGCTTCTGGTCTTTCTCCTGTCCGATCCATCCTCCACATAGCTGCCAGAATCATTTTCCTAATGCCCAGTCAGGTCTGTTCAGAAGAATTCAATGGCTTCCTATTTCCTCAAATAAAACCAGAACTCTTTAGCTCTCCACAATCGGGTGCCACTTCTTCAGTGAAGTCTTTCCTGATCTCCTTTGTTGTTAATCCTCTCCCTCCTAGAAGTTCCTCGTATTGACTTTTGTTAGGGATGTGGTTCCGTCCTGTAATTTCATTGGTGTAGGCAACTCCTGGATAAGGAATCTCCACATATCAATGCTAGCCAGTGCATCCTCTGAAACCGAGAGGCTAGAGAGTTACGTGGGGTCCTGAGGGGTTCAGGGTGGTCTGCCCACAGTCACACAGCCAATATATATTAGAGGCAAGACTTAAACCCACCTCTTCTCTGACTCAAAGAGCAGCCCTCTATCCACTATGACTATGCCATGCTGTCTCTCCGTTTGCTTTAGCATACATATTATTGCCCCTCTCCCCTAGCAGAATCTAAGCTCCTTGAGGACAGGGATTATTTTGGTTTTTGGCTTTGGCAACACCTAGCCAAGTACCTGTAGATAGTAGATGCTTAATAAATATTTGTGGAATCAAATTGATAGGGGCATCTGGTATTTTTCTGTTTCTCAATTCCTTAATGAAATGCTTTCTTTTTGCAACAGGTGGACAACCATCACTTTCCAGAGAAGATGTCTTTTAAGATTTTTGATGATCGTAAACTTGGTGTGCCTCCAGACATCAACATGAATGAAGATTTTTTAGAGGAAAAGAATAGATTGAGAACATATGTTAATTTTCCAAGTACTAGCCCTATTGCAGCAACAACACTAGCACGAGCAGGTTTCCTCTATACTGGTGAAGGAGATACTGTACAGTGCTTCAGCTGTCGTGCAGCTATAGATAGATGGCAGTTTGGAGATTCAGCAGTTGGAAGACATAGGAAAGCGTCCCCCAACTGCAGATTCATTAATGGCTTTTATCTGGAAAAGCATACTCCTCAGTTTCCAGGGCCCTTTATCCAAAACTGCCAGTTCAGAATTGAAACTGGTCAGAGGAATGTAAATCATTTTGCTTTGGAGAGTATCCCTGAGAATTATGGGGATTTTCTTTTGAGAAGAGGGCAGCTCATTGATATGACAGATACCATATACCCAAGGAACCCTTCCATGTGCAGTGAGGAAGCTAGGCTGAAATCTTTTCAGAATTGGCCACACTATGCTCACCTTACCCCACAGGAGTTAGCTAGTGCTGGCCTCTATTACTTGGGTGTTGAGGATCAAGTGCAGTGCTTCTGTTGTGGAGGCAAGCTAAAAAATTGGGAGCCTCGTGATCGGGCAATGACCGAACACAAGAGGCATTTCCCTAAGTGTCTCTTTGTTATGGGACGGGATGTTGGTAATGCTCCAATTGAAATGGATTTTAGTTGTGAAAGGAATTATCAAAACCATGCCCATTTCCCAAGGAATCCAGCCATGGCAGAATATGAAGCACGACTCATTACCTTTGCGACGTGGATTTACTCGGTTAACGAGCGGCAGCTTGCAAAAGCTGGGTTTTATGCTTTAGGTAAATTTTTTTTTTTTATTAAACTAGACTAGTAAATCCTTCCAGAGTTACTCAGTTTTTTAAGGAAAAAAAAGGAAAGGGATGCCCCCTGGGTCGGTAAATACTTAATAACCATGCCAGCTTAATACTCAAAGTTATTTCAGCTTAATTCTGTGGGCAGTTATATTGGCTTTGTAATGTTAACATTTATGTTTATGCAGGAAGAACTGCCACAGTAGAGTGGCATTTAATATATTTTAGGGGAGGGGTGACATTTGAAAAGCCTTTAATGTCCATGATATAAAATCACCTCTGGTGGAAGAGCTGGTTCCAGTTCTTTTAACCTTGCCATTTAAGTTGAGATTTTGAATGATCCTGTATCAAGATTGTCTGATTTTGACTACTCAAGGGAAAGCAGCACTATGTTATGCTATATTGTGGGGAATAGATTTCTTTAAAGAAAAATCCTGCTCCTTATATGGCCATGCACAAAACAACACTGGGTTGGTTGAGTGGCGGGGACTTGGGATCTTTCTCCAGCTTTGCTGCTAAATCATAGTGTCTTGGGGCAATTCACAATCCCTGTAGACCTCAGTTCCCTCTAAGTTAGGGGTTTGGATTGGATTCAATCAGTATCATAAGTATATTAACTTCTGGGAACACTTTTTAAATTACACTGGTTTTTTTTCTCTCTTAAATTAGTCTTTTTTTTTTTCTATGTCCTGTCTGTAAGTGTTGGGCTAAATAATTCCAAAACAAATCTGGTTGGTTTAGTTTAAAATAGGTTAATTGTTCTGATTTTTATTCACAAAACAATAAGTAAGTAGGTTAAAGTAGTGGGGTGGTTTTTTTTTTAGCCTAAATTGACTGAAAGTGTCATAGATATGATTTTAGAGTGAGTCTTGTGGAGAATTTGAATGGAATAAGCATTTAGTAATTACCCACTATGCTAGGCATTGTGCTTCACACATATTACCTTATGTCATTCTAACAACAACCCTATGAAGTAGGTGCCATTGTTAGCTCCATTTTATAGTTGAAGAAACTGAGACAGAGGTTAAATGACTTACCCAGGGTCACATAGCAAGTAAGTGTCTGAGGCTAGATTTGAACTCGAGTCTTCCTGATTCTAGGCCCAGCACTCTATTGCACTACTTGCCTGCCTTTGCATTTATCTGGATTTCATGAGTACTTGCAATATATGTTCTTTTGAATGCTAGCATGCTAATTTAATCATCAGCTTGCTCAAAGGCTGCATATTCCCAACTGAGAATTGATAAATATTAAAAACACAAATGTAACATGTAAGACAGCTTCTTGAATAAAAAGTTGAATTTGGCATCCTATTATTTGGCTCATTAAAATTACCTAAAAAGCAAGTTAGTCTAAATAATAAATGAGAATTTCTTCCCCAGGTTACATAAATGTGTCACTTATTCGAATCTTTTTTTTAAAGTAGACACTTCTGTATATGACTCAGCAGAAAGAAAGTCAGTTTTTCATTTTTGAAAGCTGACGTTTCTGTGTAAGTTTGCCACTTCATAAGCATGTCTATGTGTGCTTGTGTGTTTTCTCAGGTGACCGTGATAAAGTAGCATGCTTTCATTGTGGAGGTGGACTTAATGATTGGAAACCCAACGAAGACCCTTGGGAGCAACATGCTAAGTGGTATCCCGGGTAAATTGCTTAAATATTCATATGGTAACAGGAGGAGAGGTGGAGTATTTACACTTTGAAGGCTTAATCCTTGCCACTTCATTAAATATTCTTGCCATCAAAAAAGGCATGGATTTCATGCCTGAATGACAAACATCAGGTCACCTACTTTACAAGATACAGTCTGTGGTCATTAAAATGTTCATCCTTTGTATATGACTAGTTATGCATCTCCCATCCAGATGCACAAACTTCTCACTCTTTAAATGAGCAAATACTTCTTTGGAGTAGACTTTCTTAAAATATGATGAATGCCATAGTTACCAGAGAGACCCTTCAGAACCAAACTCATCTCTAGGAGAGATACAATGACTTGGCTGTCTTTGCCCCTTGAATATATTTTTCAGAAGGAAAACTCTTGTGCAGGTAGAAATATGATCCAATTAATATGAGGAGGCATCATGGGTTTGCATCTGGTGTTGGAGACATGTGAAATTTGTCAGGAATGCTATATCCTTTGGTGTACGTTAACCCAAAATAACCACAAAGTGGAAGGCTTCAGGAATTTTATTTTTCTTAATCTGCAAAAAAGAGAGAGAGGTTTGTTGGTAATGAGTGGGAGTTGTTTTTGCATAGGCGAATCACAGCCAATTGTCCCCTTGCAGTGAGACGTGTCAGACTTTTAAGGTTATGAATATGGGATTGGTTACTAGCTGGAATACATCATGAGTTGTAACATCTACCCTGAAAATGAAGAGGAAAGGTGAATAGTTGGTTATTCAGTACTATTAAGCCCCTTTTATACTATTGTTTTGAGTATTTCTAATAAACTATCTGCAAGTTCAGAGTGACCATTGAGAAATAAAATTTAACATTAAGAGGAAAAGCTGAAAAGCTTACAAAATTACTTTGAAATGTTTAATTGGACAGCCTTTTAGATAAAAGTCTGTTAATAGGAAATTCTTTAGGATATCCTTCTATGATGCTAATTTAATGACATTCTTGCTCACAAACGGAATATTCTTAAGTGAGAGCATTTATTGCTCTAATAATATATCCTAGCATGTATGTTGTAATAAATAGAATATATTTTTATTATAATGACTAATGGATTGCCAATACTTATTTGATTACTTAGTCATGTCTAAAAGCAAATTGATGGCATTAGATGGTATAGATTTTGAACTTAATTTTATAATTTGACAAGTTGTCCGTTGGTACTAAAGCTTAACCTTTAATTCTACAGATGTAAATATCTTTTGGAAGAGAAGGGCCAGGATTATGTCAACAACATTCACTTAGTGAATCCACTTGACGGTACTATGGTAAGTCTTGTAAAATGATCTGTTTTGTCAAATATATGGTGGTTTTACAGTTTTTTCTTCCTGTTAAATTCATAATATGGCATTTCCGAGGGAGGTGGGGAAGACTTTGAAAAATGCATTTTATTCTTTACCTAAAGCAAATGTGTAAATGTCAGGATAACGTGATTATTATGAGCCAGAATGTAAGCTTAGAGAATTAAAAATTTTGCTTTCTTCCTTCCTGACAAAATCAGGGGCTTTCCAGAAGTGGCCCACAGCCTTGATTGTGTCATATCCCGCCCCCACCCCACCCCCAAAAAGCAAAACTAACAGTAGCAAAGCTACTTGCTGAACAAGATTTAAAATCTAAATCATGAAACTCGATTCATGGAATGAATGCTGAGTAAAGCAAGTTTCTTCTAACAAAAAGATTCTAACCCAAGTTCATATCTCTATTTAGATGGAAACTACCAAGGATGCTTCATCAATAACTAAAGAAATTGGTGAGTAATTTCATCAAAATAAAACTGCCCTGAAGTATCTCTACCAGTTCATTATTTGATCCCTTTTTTACAGAGAAAATCATATAAATAGCTGCTCTGCTATATTTGTGGGATTACGAATTGGAGGAGATTCCCTGAATGTTCAGCTTGCCAATACTTACAGTGCCACGGCTTGCTTAGTGAGCATTTGTAAGGCACTTCTTTACCCTACCTCCACCCCCACCATACCCCACACATGGCACTCACTTATGCGGGAGTAAAGAAAGTATTGCAATCACTCTTGTCTAGAGCTATTCAAGCACTTTTCTCTTGGCAAGACTTGAAATTGTTTATTCTATTCATGCACCATAGTTATTGGCTTTAACAACTGAGCTCTCCTTTATCCAGTGCTATCTATGAGTTCACCCCTCTCCCCTTTTTGACAAGATCTTGACAAGACCAGATCTCCATCGCCACATGCAGAGGCTTTAGCGAGCAGCTGGTAGGGATTTTCATCACAGATTGTATGTCCGTTATGAATCCAGGCTTTAGAATCCGGGATTAGCAGTGGGGGGAATAAATAGTTTACGTTGTCAGGGGGGACAGACTGAAGTTAATGGAAGTTAACCCAGAAAGTATGCAAAGCTTCTCAGCATTTATTAAGTGCCCACTGTGTGCCAGGTGCCATGCCAGGAGCTAGAGATGAGACAAAAATAGAGACAAAAATGCCACAGTACTTTGTACTTAAAAGGCTTCTGTGCTCTTGGGGAAAGCATATACGGGGTGTTCCAAAGGTCTTAACACAGTTTTAAGCTATTAAAGTTTAAAACAGTGCTAAGATTTTTGAGGTTCTCTGTGTAAGTAGATACAAAATACATGCAAAGTAAATACCAGTTAATTTCATGGGTGGGGAGTCCCAAGCAACTTGGGGGATGGGCAGTGGGATAGGAATCAGAAAAGGCCTTATGTAGAAACTGGTTCTTGAGCTTTGAAGGAAGTTCCCCTCTTATACATGCCTACATATTATATTCTCTTTATGCATGCTTTTATTACTTGAACTTGAAAATTGACAAGATACTGATTCTGTGAGATTGAAAGAATTCTGGATTTTTATTCATCATCACAATATCTTTTTGTCCACTCTGTGGACGCTACAGCCACTTTATTTGATCCTCATAATAGCCCTGTGAGGTGGGCAGGCCAGGTTATTCATTTCCTTCTTCTATGGATGAGGAATCAAAGGCTCAGAGGTTGTGGTTTGCTCAAAGTAGCTGGTAAAGGCAGATCTAGAACCAGAATCTGGGTCTTCTGACCCTCCTGTATCTTTGTTAGCTTTCAGAAAAGTGACAAGTAGGAAGTTTATTTTAGGATTCAGCTATCTGACAATTCCCATTTCCTGTAGTTGCTGTGGCAGCATTTATTTCGTATCTTCATTGCAAAGGAGAATAGTTTTGATTCATAAATATGGTTGAGAAAGACAAGAGAGCTATTGTGTTGTTACTTAATATAAGAGTCGCAAAAGGCATGGACAGTATTCGGAATGTTATATGAAGCTGATGTGCCAAAAGCACATTACAGTAAAATACTCGTTATGGTTTGGCAGCCATGATGATATAGAAAAATATATTAATAAATGAGTTTAGGGTTGAGCCCTTTAAACAATTTTTGAGCATCTAAGGAGATAAAATAAGTACATTAGATGAATTCTTATTGTGTATGAAGTTCCAGTTATCCTTGAATGTATTAATAGACATATCATAAAACTAGAAGGACGTTTTAGAGGTCATCTAGTGCAGCCTATATTTTTAAGGCTCTCCAAATATGGAGAGTCCATGACCTGCCTTGGAAACCAGTTCTAATATTTGGTTCACTATACTGAGAACAAAGCATTCCTTGAACTCTTGCTGTAATTTAAGCTCCTTTTGCCATTGTCCTAGCCCTAACACTTGCTAGTATTTAAGGCAAGTCTCATAACTTCTTTCAGCCTCAGTTTCCTCATCCAAAGATGGAAATGTTCATACTTAACAGGCTATATAATACTAGTACCTTGAATATTTCCATATCCAGGCCTATTTAGCTTTCTTTTTTTTTCTTCCCTTCCAGACTTCAGTCAGTTTATTAAATCTTAAGACTAAAACTTAACACAATGTTGAGTTTTATTTATATATGTAACAAGAGCTTGAGCAAAACTAAAAAAACTGTCTTACATCCCAGTATCTTAGCTATTTGAGCACTGTGCCATTAATTCAGTTTTAATTTATGGAGAAGTTTAAGAAGATTTGGCATAAGCTTTCCCATACATATGTCCTGTACTTCCTAGAAATAGTTTCTTAAATCTTGCTGGCAGACTGCTTGTGGGTGATTTCAACTCCAGAGTTGATTGTTAATAGTTTGTGTTTCTTCTTTTGGAAATTATTTCTTTATATTCTTTGAGTGTTTATCTGTTGTGGACTAACTTGGCTCTTTGTGTATATTTGTGTCAATTCCCTATGTATCTTGGAAATCAGACTTTTATCAGAAGTGTTTGATCCAAAGACCTTCCACATCCCCACCACCTCACCCCCATAGCTTTTCTTATTCTAGCTGCCTTGATTTATTGGTGCAAAAGCTTTAAAGTCTCATATCATCGAAATTATCTTTGTGTGTGTGTGTGTGTGTGTGTGTGTGTGTGTGTGTGTGTGTGTGAGAGAGAGAGAGAGAGAGAGAGATCTCCTATTCCTTGTTTGGTTAAGAATTCTCCCCCTAAATATAGTTGTGAAGGGTACTTCCTTTGGTTCTTCTGTATTTTTTTAAATTATATTTTGTGTTTAGTTGCTTATCCATTTGGAGCCTACGTAGAGTGTGGTGTAAAATACTAGTCTGAATCTATTTTGCACTACATTTTTGGGGGGGTTACCTAGTAGTTCTTGTCAAATGGGAAGTCCTTCCCCTAGGTCTTACTTTTCTGATCTCTTCCACTGATTTGTTATTTAAACCAAATAATTTTCATGATTTCTGCTTTATGGTGTATTTTACAATCTAGTAAAACTATAACTTTCTTAGTGAATTTGAATTATAATTGTAATGAAATTGACTGATTATACTGTAGGTTATTGTTCGTCACTTCCAATTTTCATTTCAGATGATATTGTGTTACAAAATCCTTTGGTACAAGATGCAATCCGAATGGGTTTCAGTTTTCATGAGATTAAGAGAATTGTGGGAGAAAAGATCAAATCATCTGGAAACGACTACAAATCGCTTGAGGGTCTTGTAGCAGATCTAGTGATTGCTCAGAAAGAAAGTGCCCAAGAAGGAGCAGCAAGTGCAGTTGCAATGCAGAAAGGTAATAGTCTGCTTTATGATTTAAAAATCAAATGGAAAAAAAATTTTTTTTAATTTAAAAAATTTTTAAAAAATCAAATGGAACCTCACATCAGTGCTCGGGTCTCATTGCCTATTTGTGAGTTTTGGAGGCTTTTTGGTTGCTAACTCAGGTACCAATTTAAAAGTAAAATACAGTGGTGGAAGTTAACATTTGTTATATGTGGAACCTAGGAAAAAAGATAAGTATTGTAGCTGAAAATTATTTTTAGAGTATTCCATGTTTCATGTTCTTTGAAAAAAGCAGTTTACTGAAAGAAAATACCAAAGTAAATGAACTTCCTGTCTATTGCTTAGATGTGCCAAATCTGACATATAGGGTGATTCATTCCTGGAAGGTCAAAATAATTCAAGGGGTAAGAAGAAATAAGGTGATTTAAAGAGACATACAGATAGGAAGCTTCGGTGAAGGAAGTAGTGTCTCCTACATAATTGCTTCATATTCCCTGCTCACAGGTTCAAAAGAGATCTCTGCTGTCTCCTCTAGAAATTATACAGCATAATGTTGTAGTTATCAAGCTAACGGCATTTGTCAAGGTCAGACATGACAGCCAATCAAGAACGTAGGTGGAGTTCTGCAGTGGGCCTCTCTCCTTTATTTTGTTTTATTTTATACTAAATGAAGAAGAGAAATTGATGATAGCTGTCTTCATAATGCTACATTTACTGACTGCCTCTCTGCCTAGGAACCCTAGGAATAACTCAGTAGCAAGAATCTTTCATTTTGTCAGTCTGTTGCTCCTGCAAAACAGGAAGGTAGCAAAGGTAGTGGGAGCTTCAAGCTAAAGAACTACAGAGGAATCAGTACAGCTTACTAATTGCAGAGGGACAGCTAATGACTTGGAGCTGCCATCTTTCATCCTGGGTCTACCATTTGTTCTCTCCTCGTGGCTGGGGGTAGTCCCTGGCTAAGTTAGCTAACCAAGCTAGGAATCAGGACAGAATCTCCCTCTGGTTGCCCAGCCCTCCTTAATGTATGTGCCTCTTTTTGTTACTGACCATGAGGTAGAGCAGAAGGTGTGCAGATTTTGAGGAGGTTGACCTCTGAGCGCCCTTCCAGCTCTAGGTCTGTGAGCTTGAAAGTGATCTGCAAGCATATCAGTTCTCATCAGTAAAAGGAAGCACTGCGTAGTGGAGAGAGGGCCTGTCTTGAAGTCAGGAAGATTGGCATTCAGGTCCTACCTCTGATATATCCTTTGAACCCATGGACAAGTCACTTAACCTCTTGGTGCCCCCGGTAACTCTGTAAGGCTGTAAATTGTGGATAAGTCATTTTTGGACATCAGTGGAGGGAGCTGATGAAATCATAGTTGAACCACTTCCCCCCAAAAAACTCCCCCAACAACAAGTCACTAGCTTGGCTGGTCTTCAGATGACTGGTACAAAGTCTATTGCCAGATCTTTATTATATAGTGCCTGGCACTGAGCCTGTATTTAACTTAACTTTCTCTCTCTCTCTCTCTCTCTCTCTCTCTCTCTCTCTCTCTCTCTCTCTCTCTCTCTCTCTCTCTCTCTCTCTCTCTCTCTCTCTCTCTCTCTGTCTCTGTCTCTCTCTCTCTGTCTCTCTCTCTCTCTCTCTCTCTCTCCATTTATTCTTTTTGAGTTCCAAATTCTCTCCTCTCTCCAACCCCTCCCCCATCCATGAGAAGGCAAGCGATATGATACCCATTATACATGTGAAGTCATGTAAAACATATTTCCATGTTGATCATGTTGCCGAAAAAAAGCAAGAAAAACCAAGCAAGTGAAAAAAAATGAGCTTCAGTCTGCATTCAGATGGACGTATACTCTCAGTCCAACCTTAGTAGGAACTATGTGAGTTTGCACTTAGCTAGCATAGCTTTGGAGAACCCAGGATCATCTTCATGTCAGAATGAGGCATCAAAGGAGGACTTGATTAGATGATTCAATGAGATTAATTTTTTTTTTTAAACTCAGCTTGTTCCCGTAAATCTCTTACTAATCTCCCCCTTCTACCTGGGTACCTGTTGGTAGAAATAGTGAGTGACTCTGGCTAATTCTAGGGCTGATATAAAATAAAATAACTGGAATGGCAGTCAGGAGCATAAAAGTCTATCTGGCCTTTTCTTCTCTTTCTTCAGCCTCCATACCAGTGGTCTTGTGACTTGGCACAGAGGACTTAGGGAAGAAACAAAGAAGGGGGAGAGGTACAGTAGGGAGAAATAAGAAGACGTGCAGAAGCATTGTGGGGGCACCAAGCAGGAGTACCTGGGACACTGGACTGGGAGTCAGAAAAACCTAGCTTTGAATCCTACCTTAGGCACTTGTCAGCTGTGATCTCTAAGCAAGTCACTTAATTAACATCCCTGGGCCTCAGTTTCCTTATCTTATTAACAATAAAATGACTTAACTACATCCCTTTTTGGTAAAAATGCTCATTTTGTATTGATGTTTTTTCTGGAAAACTTTCCCCACAAGCATTTAGTTTCCAGTGGTGCTCTGTATTAAAGCAGACTGAACTGCCCCACTCACAGCAGTAATCATACATAGTTTGTTATCAGTGATTCAAGAAGTGTGCCTACAATATTGATGAATATGTCCTGGGCATTCTTCATTAAGAACTTTATTGAACTGATTCCAAACAGCGGGAGGGATTTAAGCAATTAATCTGAAGTCTGTTCATTTTGTTCCCACAGACGTTAGTACTGAAGAACAGCTCCGGTATTTGCAGGAGGAGAAGCTGTGTAAGATCTGCATGGATGAGAATATCGCTGTCGTTTTCATCCCTTGTGGACATCTGGTTACTTGTCAGATGTGTGCTGAAGCAATTAACAAATGTCCGATGTGTTGCGCTGTCATTAACTTGAAGCAGAAAATTTTCATGTCGTGATTGGAATTCTGTAGTTGCAGTAGTCTAGTTGTCGTATTTGCTTGACTATGTGATGTGGATGAAATGTGAAGGAAGAAATAATACTTGCTATGATACCTTTTCCTAAAAACCGAACAGGTTTATTCCTTGTAATGTCTTTGAAACCTTAGTGTAGTATCTTTCTTTGTTTTCTTATTTCACAGTAAGCAGTAGGGTAAGAAGCTATCCCCAGACTGACCAGAGTGTCTGCTTCTAGTTGTGCTACTTCCTATTGACTTGACTGTGTGACATGAAGCCATCTGAATGGCTTTTGATGATATCTGAAGGAAGAAATAATGCAGACAATGGTAACTTTTCCTAAAAACTGAACAGGTTCATCCCTTGAAATGTCTTTGAAACCTTAGTATAGCATCTTTCTCATTTTTTCCTATTTCACAGTAATCGGTAGAATAGGAAGCTATCCCCAGACTGACCAAAGTGTCTGCTTCTCTGGGTGTGCTGAATGAGTGTCAATGTAAGGGGCTTAATCAACTGGGAATTAGAAAAGACTTGGTAAACACCTCTGAGTCACTGTAGAGATAGTGATTAACTTGACCAGTCTGACTCTTTTTTTTTGGTTAATAAAAGGAAGAAACTATCCAGGCAGTCTTGAAATAAGGCTAATTTGTAGATATTCCATGTAGTTTTTCCTTTAAGTAATAATGAGGATTAAAACAGAAGTACCAAAAGACCAAACATATATGAGAATGGTGAAAGAAAAACAATTCCTTTTGCTATTTCAGTAATTATTTATGACTTAAAGGCTTAATTGTGTTCAAACACCTACAAATATTAGTTGTCATTCAGCATTGGTTTTCCTAATTCTCCCAAGAATGGAAAGCTTTTCCTTTTAGATTGGTATTGAAAAGCTTTAAGCATCTTTTATCACATAGTAGGAAAAAAAAAAGAAATTTTCCCCAGTGTCTTGTTTCCAAGTCAAATATTTCTGGTTTCCTAAAGCTGAGGATGGAAAAGATTCCTCATTCATAAGTAAAACACTGAACACTTTTCTCATTTAAGCCTGCCTGAGTTATTTTCCAGAACTTTCAGAAGACTTTTATTAACCTGGTGTAAATACTGGCAGCCAAGGCAAGGAAAAGTAGAATAATGTTTGTTCTCTGATTGCCTGCCAGCCCCAGTGGGAAATGGTCTCTTTCGCCTTTGAACTCCCAAGGCACCTCACTGTAAATTTTCATGCTCTACCCTCGTATTTATATTTATTTGTGAACTTGTCTTAGTTTCCCAGCTAGACTCTGTGTTCCATGAAGGCTGGGAAGACTTTGAATCTTATTCTTTATATCTCCTACAGAGCATAGCATGAGGCCCTGGACATACTAAGTGTTCAATAAATACTTGTTGTTCGGCAAATATGATTATATTATTGGCTTTTAGTGCAACTGTTTTAATGTTCCCTGCCCTCTCTTTCTTCCTGTTGTGATCTCCTGTTAAGTGCAGTTCCAGTGGTATTCAAAACTACCAGTGCCTCAGACCCTGGGGCATGTAACACTTGGTGGGGAGGGGAGTACTAGTTACAGAAATCAGAAGTACCGACAAGGACATAACAAAACAGATTTTTATGTATTGGCAAGATTGCATAAAGGCATTCCTGAATTAAGAATACTTAGCTATAATAATGGAGGTTGCCTAATGCTCTAAGGAGTACCTCAGGGGCTTGCATTAAGAGAGCCTCCTGGTGCAACACTTGACATTGAGGCATTTTACTGCACAGAAGAGGTTCAGAATACAACCATTAAGGCTGTTATTCAGAATATATTTTGCAAGGGAAAGATTAGTCATGCCCTCCTCCAAACTTCATCTGATGTTGCTTTAAGTTAGCTTTGCACAGTGTTAGGTGAGATTTTTCAGATAAATGGCTTTCTTCCCTGTTGTTCTTATTCCCTAAATCCTGTCTTCCCCAAGTCTGCATTGTCTTCGATTTAAGCTGAGTTATGTATTTTGTTTACATATTACATATATCTAAGTTTATTAATCCTTTTAAGGAGGAATAAGTGTTAAGGTTCATGTGTTTGTTTTTTTAAAGAAAAATTTTTTTTAAAGTCCTGGGGCCTAACACTTAGAGTTGAACTTAGTTATTAGTAAAGGGCTAGATTATTTGAAGAGGGGGGGAGGAAGGCTTTTCCTCTTGTAAGAGCCTGAGTTAAACTGTGGGTTCTTTAGAAACCTATATGTTTAGAAGAAAGTAGGGGTTGGTTGAATTTTTTTAGAAGCAGGCAAAGACTTATCATGAGTGATGACATTTAAAGCTAGCGTGGTGGCTAACGAGTTCTGTTTTATGAGTTGTTTAGAATATACTGTTGCTTTGGGTTCTTCAAGTCACTCCATCTTCCAATCCTATTATTTTAAGACTTTGGTGTATTTGGCCACTTGTGATAGGGGAGGTAGGGTGGTTTAGAGAAGAAAGTGATGGATTTGGAGCCAAGAGGCCTAGGTTTAAATCCTGGCTCCAATACTTTGTGACCCTGGGCTAATCACGTCAAGTCCTGAAGCCTCAGTGTCTACAACTGTAAAATGGAGATAATATTTTACTCTAAATACCTCACAGAGTTGTGGTAGGGAAGGCATTCTGTAAACCATAGGCTACTACAGCAAACTCGCCATATTTCAAAGATGTCATTTCATCAGTGAGAATACCTTATCTACCAATGCCAGTCATAAGCTCTCCAGAGCTTAGAGCTGCTTGAGCCCCAAATGAATCCCTCCGTGGCCAACCTAGTGTTAAGCTGCTCTGGACCTTGCTAGGCTAGTTGTTGGACAAGAGACCAAACATTCCACCATCAGACCCATCCTTGAAGCTTTCCCGGTTTGATGTAAATAACTGTTAACAGTTGTTTGATAAAACATTATCTATAGTTTATAAATTAGCAGTTCTTCATATTAGTATGCTAATCTTAAAATAGCAATGTGTGATTTCAATGCTGTATCTCAATTTTTTAGAAGTGGTTATTATGATAGGACAAACAAGGCCAGGTTTAGCATTCATCTGTAGTTTGGGTGGTCTTTGTTAACTTGTTTTCTTAAAAATGCATCTGTTTGTTAGAGAAAACGTTTATTTCCTTATTACCCTAGTACTTGAAGAGCAGAGTGGGGAATAGCATCCGTTATGTAGCATTTGTTTTGGAGAAATAAGTAAGTGGGATGGACTGTCAGCCAAACAACGACCCTCTTGGTCGAACCCACTAAAAAGATAGCAGGATATTGTCAGGCACTCCAGAACAGGAAGGAGAATATCATTCTCTTATCCAACCGAGTTTAAGTATTCCCTCAACTTTTGAGACTGAATTTCATAGATATGCCTTCCCAGATATGAAGGTCACGGGATTATAGATTTAGAGAGGGAAGGAACCCTAGCAAGCTATCAAGTCCAACCCTGTTACTTCACAGATGAGGTGATTGAAACAAAAGAAGTCATTTGGCTTGCCCAGGGTCATACTGCTACTAAATGAGAGGCAGGATTTTAAGTAGGGTCTTCCTAAATTCAACTCCCAGTACTCTATCCACTACGCCAGTGGTGTCAAACTCAGAGAGAAATAGGGGCCACATACATAAGATCCCAGCGAGCCATATACAGACTTAGAAAATCACATATTAACATTATCTGTTCTATTTTATTTTTATTTATTTCATTAAACATTTCCCAGTTATATATTAATTTGGTTCAGGCTGCACTCAGGAGTGTTGTGGGCTGCATTTCCACATGTTTGACACCCCTGCAGTATACCATGCTGCGTCTCTCATCGTCCCACATCCTGCCTATTATTTCTCCCTTTATTGGGTTTGCACCTGAAACGAAGAGGGACAGCCATAGCATGGTGAATAGAGTTCTGACCTCAGAATCAGTTAGACCTGGTTTCAAGTTGTGCTCCTGACAGACCCTGGCTGGGCAAGTCACTTTCTCTCTCCATGCCCCAGGCTACTCAAAGACTAGAAGTTGCCAGGTAAGTGCTGACCTGTGCTGGTGGACAAAGGGCAGTCCCTCCAAAATACTTAGAGCACCTATCCTAACTCCCTCCTTTTACATTTGGAGACACTGAGGCTCAGAGAGGTAAACCAACCTGGCCAAGACCACATAGATGGTAAACAGCATAGCCAGAATTATATCTCTGGTCCTTTAAATCCGAATCTACTAGTCCTCACTATACCAGTCCCCACCATCTTAGGTTGTTTTTATTCTTTGTGTCAGTGACTTTTTGCCTTAGATTTTAATATTACTTCTTTGTGTAGGACCTAAAATACAAGAATCAGATTCATTTTCTTTAAATTTCAGACCTTAATTTTTTTCATTCATCTTGGTTTTGAGTTTTCCTGATTGCTATAATTGTCTGTTCATCCATCAGTTTTTATAAAGCCAGTTTCATTTTGACCTCTGTGCACCTGGCCATACCCCTGGCTCTACACCAGTAAGGCTCATGTTTTGAAGTCTTTTTTTCAGTATGTGTAAAATAATTTGTTTTTTTATTGTGCTGTTCTTATTCTCTATTTGATAAATATCATCAAATATGAACATTTCCACATACCCAAGAACAGAAAGAATAGAACATGAAACCAATCAATAATCAACAAACATTAAGTGCCAACTATGTGCCAGGCATGTAGAGCTAGAGATACAAAAAGAGGTAAAAGACAATCCCTGCCCTCAGGGAGCTTACAGTTGAATGAGGGAGACAATGTGCAAATATATGCAAAGCAAGCTATATACGAGATAAGTTAGAAATAATTGTAAAGAATATAATACGTTAAGCACTGTTAGTTTCAAAACTGTCATATTTGTCTTTTAGAACTCCCTTCTAGGTCAGCTAGGTGGCGCAGAGGTTAGAGTGCCAGCCCTGAAGTCAGGAGCACCTGAGTTCGAATCTGACCTCAGATCAAACAGTTATTTTTAAAGCTGTTTTCTGTATCAAAGGAAAGATCTTACCAATTTGGAAAAGAGTTCTTCCTATGATATAGAAATGACATTTGTAGATCCAAGATAATACAATTTACTTTTAGGTTTATCAGGCATTCAATAATTAAAGTATTGTATTCTTTCAAAAAAGGTCTGTGGTTTTGTGGGTTTTACTTTTGAGGCAAAACCAGAGTAGACCTTTTAGTACTAGCTCCTCATACTTTACTGCTTATATACATGTTCCCTTTTCATCTTCAAAATGCCATAATGAGTCAGGTGCTGACAAATACTAATTCCATTTTACAAATGAGAAAAATGAGGTCCAAAGAAGTTGTGTAATTTCCCTAAGATCATAGAACTATTAAAGTGGCAGAGCCCTTCCCAGGTGTTCTGACTTCCCAAGTCCAGTGATTGTTTCTTGTACCATGCTGCATCTCTTTAAAACCTGAATTGTTACCTCCCCTATCATATGCTATATGCTGTACATGTGAGTTGATGCCTCCATTCCCAGATCCCATGGCTATAAAAAGAAAATGGTCATACTGCCAGTCACCCAGTTACCTGCCTTCCAAGGAAATCATGAAGAACAGCCAGAAACACAAGGAGAGAAGATTCCCCATATTTAATAGCTAGCCATGATGAGATAAGTGAGCAGTACAGGAAATTGGTTGTGTGGTTGTTTAGTTGTTTTTCAGTCTGACTTTGCCTGACTCCAGGCCCAGGCTCTATTAATTGTACCACCTACCTTTGTGTTATATCCACTCCCTAGTAGGTAAGTTCCTTGAGGGCAAGGACAGCTTTTCCTTTTTGTCTTTGATACCTCGCACCTGGCATGGTGTGTCATAAAAATTTCCGGAATTAAATCAATGAGGCTAGGGGTATCTGATGGGTATCTGATGTTTTGTGGTTTGGTATTCCCTTTTTATGCCTTACCTGAGATTAGTGACCAGAGAATCATCGGACAAGGTTTCTCTTATTTCTTTTTCAAGGAATCCTGAATGATTTTTATGTACGAATAGGAGATTCCTTGTTGGAAGGGAGCCTTTAAGGCAGCCCTTCACTCGACCAAATAAAATGCTTTTTTATAGTCAATAAACAATAAGCTCAGTGGGCTTCTCCATGTCAGATGTGTAATGATAAAGATGTAGTCTTCTGTGGAATTATGCTTATGAAAGCCTCCCTGTTCCCTACCAATACCCTCATTGAGGATACCCTGGATGGGTGTATGGATCATTTTCTTAAAAATTTTAAATAGATGGGAAAGTAGGCATATAGGGTCAGTGGTTGTTAATGTTCTTTTCAGTTGCCTTAAAAAAATTTTTTTTGCATTAGTAAGGTCTGAGATTTTTTTTTTCCTTTTAATATCTTTTAGGTATTTTTTTTTTGGTCAATCTCTCAATTGTCCTCTTAATTGTCATTGATTGTCACCTCCAGCACAAATTTCCTCTGTTTGGCTGAATCTAGCTGCTTGTCGTATCTTGTTCTTTTCAGTGCTATTTCTACTTTCTCGATAAACATATCTGTGACTGTGATGTTAGAATCCAAGGGTGACTGAACTATCCCTGATGTGAAAAGACTTCGAGTTGTCTTTGTTGTTTTTCCCTGTGCATTCTTGGGTGCCCTTGGAAGGATTTTGGTTGGGTCTCACCAAGCGTTCATTAAACAGATTTTACCTTCCACTGTTTCTCACTTGTATTGAAGTGATACTACTCATAATCTTCCACTATCTTTCTCCGTAAGATTTTACCTGCAAGTTTATATTGTGAATTTGTGTTTCCCTTAGCCAGCATCTCTCTTTGCTAGGCAATTAAGACCAGTGTTTGCTGTGTAACGTGCATTTAAGCTCTTTTGGTCTGTTACAACATTGTTTAATAAACTTATGTGTAAAGTGGTAGTTGGTGTTTGTCTCCCATTTTTTATCGTCACTTATTTACTCAGATCAAGTTAGAACTGGTTCGGTTGAATGCCCTATGTATTTTTTTCATTTCTATTCTTTAGTGTTGTACTAATTTTTATTTTTGCTCTCAGAAGTTGGTGGCCTGCTTGCACATATTGAGCTGACTCAGGAATGATTCCCACTTCAGTAAGGAGTCATTGTCTGTTAAAATATAGTTCCCCAAAATTGGCAAAC